TGAGAAACACGCAATCAACTTTGCGCTCAGGTCATGAGGTCATTCACAAGAAAGGTTTTACTTGTGATTGCTCTAACATTTAAAAGCACCATATTCAATGGCATCTGCCTCGAGGTGACCAATGGAATAAAAACCAAATTATTAACATTACAACCACGTTTTCTGACAGTCTCCATTCTCTCAGAATGGTAGGAGATAACAGTTTGTATAAACTCACTAGAAGGCGGAGTTAAAGGAACATAAATTAGGTTACTCACAATAACCATAGTGCCATTTCTACAGGAGTTGATATGCTTTCCAAGTCCTCTGTTGCTTATTCTGACAGGGTGAACTGGAGCACTACCAGAACCTGTCCGTCAGTCTCTTAAAAAGTTTGCGATGTTAGTGGAAATAATCCTGGAACCCCTGCGGTTAGGGTGAATCCCGTTTCATTTAAAAAGTGCTGGTTGCTCCCACAGCAAATCAAAGTTGTCACCAAATGAGACATTCCTGTCATTGCAAAGTGTCTTCAGGTACTCGTTCAGGGCAAAGAGTCGGCTGAAAATGTTTCCGAACCAGAGATAATTAATCTCTTCCCTGTGCTAGCGAGGGTGTGTAAAATTTTTTTGTAGTACTCACTCAGTTCCTCAGATCGCTTAAAACGAAGGTCGTTAAAACCTACGTGAGTGACGATGGTGTCAATATTGGAGTAGTTGGCCAGAACTGTGGGCAGGAGGGAGTTGATGTCATGGACACGGGCTCCTGGGTGACAGTGGACCTTAGTCGGTCCACAGATCTTCTCTGATAGATGAAGGGTGGCCAGGTGCCCTTATTTGCCAGGCATTGAAAAACCTCCCTGGTCTGTGTGGTTGAATCTGTGTTTAAAATCCACTGCTTGACTGAGGGACCTTACAGATATTTGTATGTGTGTTGTACAGAGATGAGGTAGTCATTCAAAAATAATGTTAAACACTATTATTGCAGACAGTGTGTCCATGCAAGTTATTATGTGACTTGTTAAATTGCCATAACAAAGGGTTGAATACTTATTGACTCAAGACATTTCAGCTTTTAATTTTGTATTAACTTGTTAAAATTTCTAAAAACATAATTCCACTTTGACATTATTGGGTATTGTGTGTATGCCAGTGACACAAAATCTCAATTTAATCAATTTTAAATTCAGGCTGTAACACGATACAATTAGGAAAAAGTCAAGGGGTATGAGTACTTTCTGAAGGCACTGTATATCTGACATTATTTGACAAATTTAATGTGAAGTGAACTATCACTTTAATTGTAAAACGTTACCTTATGGGCTTGTTCGACATTGCAGCTGACAGTGCAGGCGACTGCCGACTGACTGATCTACAGACGACCTTACATCATAAATAACTGCTCATTATTATTTGTAGATCAGTCAGTCAGAATTTACCCACGATACATCACGGTTTTGATGCTCTCGAACACGGCCTCTGTCAGTTGCACTAGCACGGACTGCCTGGGAAAACTGTGCTAGACTATAGTAGAGGGGGGTTGATGGTGACGCAGGAAAAACACCCAAGTGCAGACAAAAAAAAATCAAGGAAGAGAGATCATATTAGCAGATCTGGATGCATGCATGAAAATCTTATGTAACACACGTTGACACTTAGCGAAACCCAGAATAGAAAGATTCATAGACAGGACAGGACAAGTCAACACAAGGAAGTTGCATCAAATTTTCGGGTAAGTAACATTATGTAGCTAGCAACAATGGTGCTAACTGGCTAGGATAGCTAGATAACGACATTTCTGAATATTCATCAACAATGAAACGTTATAGCTGTCTAACTACACGGTGTAACGTTACACATATGATTTTAATTGGATAAAGAGGAGGGAGTACTAACAAGCAAGGTGCCTGACATCGACAGAATGAATGCTGAAATGCCGGTTTGTTTCTGCAGGTAGCTAACTAAGTTAGCTGTTATTTTTGTCTGGCAAAATGGCTGACGTTTCCCATACCAACCTGTTAATTGTTTGCATTTGGGATAGGAAATATAACGGTTTCCACATAGCTAGTCCAAGGTCAGTCTCAACCAAACAACAAGATGTTGTCTAACTTCTTGGGCTAGTGGTGTTGACAGATACGGGGCTGGTGTTTGATCAACAACCTACCAATGGCAATGCATACGGACTGTTGATTGTTGTGGCCCCGGCGACAGTGGAGGCAGCGCCATTAGCTAACGTTAACTAGCTAGCTAGCATGTTAGCTGTTAGCACTACCGATGTTGAGTAAGGGGAAGGCCCTTAAAATGCTTGTCAGTAGCTAACGTTAGCTAGCTAGCGTTACGGGGCCTTGTCTAACGTTATGCATTAGTTATTGTCCAGACTCCTGTTATAATACATGCGTTATTTTCCACATCAATTAGCTGTGTCCCAGGCAATGTTTGCAGGCTGGTTATTTTCGCGTTGGATGAATTAGATGGCTAATGCTACGCTATCTAGCAATTGTAGTTAGCTAGATAGTTATTGGCTGATGCCGATGATGGCTAGTTAGCGGTCTCTCATATCTAGAATACGTCATACAATGTAACAGTTACTTATTTTGAGATTTAGTTGTAGGACGTGTGCTCTAGCTAAATCAAGTTTTCCTTATACTGCATTGCCAAAATAACTTGTATTAATTAGTTAGCTTCACAATGTTACTGAATGATATGTCCTCACAGAAAGGGGTTCTGGTGAGAAGGATGGCGGATCGTGACAGGAATGATTAGCAAGCCTAGGACCAAGACAATTTTTATTCACACACTCATCATGCAAGCAACCTTGTCATTTGTGGTTACATAATGTTTGCCTTTGTGCCAAGCTCCTTGTAAACCATCAGCTGTCACAAGAAATGTCAAAATGTCTTGACATGTCTGTCTGCATTAAACTGTCTCCTAAAACGGAAATTGAATGTGTAGCCAAGGTAGTCTCGAAAACCTGACCCTAGTTGCCTAGTGTCGAGGTGGGGGCTGGCTTTGTTGGATCGATTGACAAAGATTGGATTACATTTGCTTAATTATTTGCAAGCAAGACATTGTCAATGTATGTCATTGTCGTCAATCATTAGGCCTGGTAATAGGCTTACTTAGTGCATTTCCGGATACAAATGACTTCATTCCACCTGAAAGGTCTCTGCGTTTCCTCAGTCTTGACCTAGCTATGCTCACTTCAAGTTTTATTCAAGTAACAAAGCTAAGCCTTGACCATGATGATCTGAATACTTGTTTCATACTAGATATGTATACACACTGCCATGGCTGCTTTGCCTGCTGGAATTACTATATTTTCAGCAAGCTGAAAACTAGAGTTCCCCAACCCTCACCTCACACCCCCCCCAGACGTTTTCAAATGTTTGTTTGAATCAGGTGTGCCAGTTTAGGGTTAAAACACAAATGTGGAACATCTGGGGGTGCTGAGGAGAGGGTTGGGGAAACCCTGGTTTATGGCCCGGTCAGGTGCTCTCTCAAGACTCAACCATTAGATGGAAGCAGATACATCTGAAGACGGGAAACTGAAGACGGACAATAATAAACCTGTAAACTGAGCCCAGAGGATCGTAACTCAGCTGGAGACTCTCTTAATGTGGCTCAAGACTTCCAGTGTCTCACAACTAGACACACAGTCCTTTCCTACCCAGAAACCCTAGCCCCTAATCTTAACGTTACCTCATAGGCATTTGAGTGGATTGAAGGAGCCTCAGGCCCTGAACCTGTTGTTAGGCTATCTCTTCCATCCTGACAAGATGAGGTTTTGCTTTGACACTCTGCTGTTGTGTAAGGCCAATATTCTACACAGGCTCACTTATGTTATAGAGCAGTTTCCCTCCTCCAGTACCCCCAACATCAGACATTTGTCTTATAGCCCTGTACAAAAACACCTGCTTGCTTGAACTCATTGAGGGCTTGATGATTAGTTGACAAGTAGAATCAGGTGTGCTTGTCTGGGGCTCCAACAAAAATGTGTGCTGTTGGGGGTACTGGAGGACCGGAGTTGGGAAACACTGTTGGAGTACTGCGACTTTGTGTCTGTGGCACTGGCAGCCAAGTATAGATGGCATGAATTCAATCCAATATGTTATTATTAATCCTTTTGGGCAATTATTAGGAATACATTGTTTGTCAGTAAGCGCACAATGGCTTGTTCTCCTTGTTCAATTGTTATTGTGTTAGGCTAATATAGCCAGGCAATATCTTGAAACCTCAATATCCCATGCTTGTCTTGCTGTGGTGAGACATGAGTAACCTAGGAGCTGCAGTTTGTTGGGGTAGGGTACGGGTTAGGTTAGGGCCATGCTGTTGTGTGATCAATCAACATTTTGTCAGTAGTTGTATACTGCCTTGCACAGTCTAGAGACCTCTGAACCAGTTAGACATAGACTATTAATAGGCCAGTATGGTGATAGTCCTGTGCTGTCTGCAGCGAAGCTAAACTGGCAATAGGAGAGGTAACGCTAAGGTGACGGCAATGGGGGGGGGGTTTCTGTCTGTCAGTATTGGGGCTAGAGTGCATGTCTGTGTGTAATAATTCTGCACCGTTATCAAGCTTGCAGATTAGCATTTTAATGTCTAGACCCAGATAGTGGCAGAGCGAGAGTCATTTGAGCTGGTCTTGCACAGTTGAAGACTCCTGTCTTGCAAACATACCGTGGAGTCATGGCCTTTGGATGCACCTGTGTTGTTTCTCAGCTGTTTTCACAAGTCAACAGTGGTTTGAAGTTGACCATGTCTCGTTCACTAGATTGTATACAGATTAGCTGATATGTACGTCTCAGTCCAAAATGCATGGGGAAAATGGGGCATCAACCATTCTAAATCTCTGTCCCCCAGGTTCTGCGATGGTCTCTGCAACCCTCCCTGAGCCTCAGCAGCCAGAGCGTTCCCTCTCAGCCGGCCTCTGGTTCTCCTTCCCTGCCCAGGCGCAGGCAGTGATCCCCCCCCAGGCCAGGGCCTCCTAAAGCGGACAAGATTGCCAAGATCTGCCCCGTGTCGATCATGACGGTCACCACTCGTGGCTCCCCCGTGGGGGGCAATGACAGCCAGAGCCAGGCACCCGCTGACGCTCAGAGCCAGCCCCCACCCACACAGGCCCAGGTGAGTGAGGGGTTACGTGTGTGTCTGTCTGTGGATAGTTCCCGAACTATCAGTGAACAAGGTTACCCGCATATCAACTGTATGTCTGCGTGAAGTTGACTGACTAATATGCCATCAATGCCATACTTACTTACTTAGGCCCATCGCCCCATGAGGAGCATAGGGCAGTAGTAGGAGTTAATCTTTAGTATGAAACAGCATGAGTCATGTTGAGACCACAGCTGGCTTCTTTCCAATGAGAGAAGCTCTTTGTCATTTAAAAGCGTTTCTGAGCTGTGGACAGGATCACTGGTGTAAGTCTAATTACTGTCACATAATTAAATAAGCTTTAAAGGGGAGGGGCTGGCACGAAGCAACATTTATAATCAGATGCTCTATGAATTGTGTTTGTTTGACTTTGGGATTGCTGTGAAGTTCCAAGGCTAATTACACACCTTCATCACTGCGTGTGTGTTCCCGACTTACGTTCATGTCTATTAATCAGCTTTTGTAGTATGTTTGGTATTAATGTGTGTGTGCGTTTCAGATGGCGTCCCCCAACTCGTCGTCCACGGAGCCGTCTCCTGTGAGCCCGCCGGCGGCAGAGGAGCAGGGCCAAGGAGACTCTGGCCCCCTTCTGGAGGAGGAGGAGCCTGCTTTCCCTCACACTGACCTGGCCAAGCTGGACGACATGATCAACAGGCCCCGATGGGTGGTCCCAGTCCTGCCAAAGGGGGAATTAGAAGTTCTGCTTGAAGCTGCTATAGACTTATGTAAAAAAGGTATGTCCGTCATCGTATACAATATACATCCATATAGGACAACATCTTTTTCATTTGTCTTCTATTGATCTCTTTGTTTTCTGCCTTTTAATCGTTGCCTCTTTCTACAGGGCTTGATGTGAAGTGTGAGGCGTGCCAGAGGTTTTTCAGGGACGGCCTGACCATCTCCTTCACTAAGATCCTCACAGACGAGGCTGTCAGTGGATGGAAGTTTGAGATCCATGTAAGTGCCTTGTTTACACACACACACACACAATAGCACTTCCTGTTTGAACTACAGCTGATTGTCCTTCCCTCCACAGAGGTGTATCATCAACAACACCCACCGGCTGGTGGAGCTGTGTGTGACCAAGCTCCCTCAGGACTGGTTCCCCTTACTGGAGCTACTGGCCACGGCCACCAACCCCCACTGCAAGTTCCACATCTACAACGGCACGCGGCCCTCCGAGACCATCCCCGCCGGGGCCACGCTGGCCGACGACGAGCTCTTCGCCCGCCCACCCGACCCTCGCTCACCGAAGGTAGGCCCCAACTCAGCCTCGCTCACTCAGGATTCCTCGCTTGATACAAGATATCCCTCACTTGTCAAAGTTTTGAAAATGAGTTAAGCTGTCGTCAGTGATTGGCCATTCATTTTTCTCTCTCTCTCTCTCTCTCTCTCAGGGCTGGTTGGTGGACCTGATTAATAAGTTTGGCACACTGAACGGGTTTCAGACTCTACATGACCGCTTCATGAGCGGACAGGCACTCAATGTACAGATCATCGCTGCCCTCATCAAGTATGTTAACACAGATGGACCTATGTAAGGGACATCTGTGTGTGTCCTAACGCGTGTATGTCTTCCCTCCAGGCCGTTCGGTCAGTGCTATGAGTTCCTGACCTTGCACACGGTGAAGAAGTACTTTCTGCCAGTGATCGAGATGGTTCCTCAGTTCCTGGAGAACCTGACGGACGAGGAGCTAAAGAAGGAGGCCAAGAACGAGGCCAAGAACGACGCCCTGTCCATGATCATCAAGTCCCTGAAGAACCTGGCCTCCAGGGTGCCCGGCCAGGAGGAGACCGTCAAGAACTTGGAGATATTTAGGTTGAAAATGATCCTTAGGTGAGATTTCTTCAGTTGTTGTTTTCTTTTTAGGTTGTTATTGAATTTAAATGTCACATTGGGGTTTGAGCACCTTGTATGGTGAGTGTTTTTGCTAGTCAACTGCTGTTTTATTATTAAAGGAAAATTCCACCCAAAACTACATTTAGGTATTTTTTTTGCATGTCAGCAATCAAGTTTTCAAGATGTATAACTTCTGAAATACAGCTGGTATTTTTCTGACATGCAAAACATGTTGGGACTAGGTCAACAATGGACTAATGAAACTAATACCAAAATATAGTTTTTGGGTGGAATTTTCCTTTAAGATAAGGTGCTTATGCTTTCATTTGTTGCTTGGTCCCCAGGTTATTGCAGATTTCCTCATTCAATGGCAAGATGAACGCCCTGAACGAGGTCAACAAGGTAATCTCCAGCGTGTCCTACTACACGCATCGGCATGGCAACCCCGAGGAGGAGGAGTGGCTGACGGCAGAACGCATGGCAGTGAGTCACCTAGCCCCTAACAGTTACTACTTAGGAATGATAATGGGACTGGATTTGTATAGAGCTTTTAAATTGCTCATCAGAGTTTAATACTAAATTCCTGTCAGTCGAATTGGAAGTTCTCCACAGGAATACAAATCTATGCCTGACGTTTGTCTTTCTCTCCATTTGTGTCTCAGGAGTGGATCCAGCAGAACCACATCCTGTCCATCGTGCTGAGGGACAGCCTTCACCAGCCTCAGTACGTAGAGAAACTAGAGAAGATACTCCGCTTCGTCATCAAGGAGAAAGCCCTCACTATGCAGGACCTGGACAACATCTGGGCAGCACAGGTACTGAATCAAACGTGGCATGGGAAAATGGATCTCAGCGATATGGGGATGGCTCCATCTTGAATTTCAATGTGCTTCCTATTCATTGAACCTATACAGGTTATTCTCATTGAGAAGTAAAATAACTATTTTGCAAGAGACCTTTTCCTTTATAAAAAGGAATGGGTAGGGGAAAGGGGTTGTTTTTAGAACCATCCCTAAGTGTCTTCTGTGTCTGCTTCCATGTCAGGCTGGTAAGCATGAGGCCATAGTGAAGAACGTCCATGACCTTCTGGCCAAACTGGCCTGGGACTTCTCTCCAGAGCAGCTCGACCATCTCTTTGATTGCTTCAAGGAGAGTTGGACGAATGCGAGTAAGAAGCAGCGCGAGAAGCTGCTGGAGCTGATCCGTCGTCTGGCGGAGGACGATAAGGATGGAGTGATGGCCCACAAGGTGCTCAACCTGCTGTGGAACCTGGCTCACAGTGACGACGTCCCCGTAGACATCATGGACCAGGCCCTCAGCGCACACATCAAAATACTAGACTACAGCTGCTCTCAGGTAAAACTACTGCTACTGGGTTGTATTCATTAGGCACCTATCGGAAGAAAACAGACTGAAACTGGGACGATCTACTTGAACTTTTCAAATAATAAATGTTTTGCTATGGTGGTCCCTAATGACTAGGACCCTGTTCTGTGCTTCTGTGTGCTCCAACAGGACAGAGACACCCAGAAGATCCAGTGGATCGACCGCTTCATCGAGGAGCTGCGCACCAACGACAAGTGGGTCATACCTGCCCTGAAGCAGATCAGAGAGATCTGCAGCCTGTTTGGGGAAGCTCCTCAGAACCTCAGGTATCGAAAGACTCTCTCCACCTCCCCGTCTCTTTCCCTCTCACTCGCTCTCTCTCTCTCGTTCATTTCTCTTTTTCATTTTACATTTACATTTGAGTCATAGCTTGTGAGGAAATATAACATTTCTCTCCTTCCCTCTCTTCCCCGTACAGTCAGACCCAGAGGAGTCCTCATGTGTTCTATCGTCATGACCTGATCAATCAGCTGCAGCACAACCATGCCCTGGTCACGCTGGTGGCAGAGAACCTGTCTGCCTACATGGAGACCATGAGACCGTTCTCCAAAGCTGAACACGCAGACTTTGACCCTCAGACGGTCAGAGTGGGCAGTCGTTACAGCCATGTTCAGGAGGTCCAGGAGAGGCTCAACTTCCTGAGGTAAGTAAGGCAGGCGGCTGCCTCCAGGCATCTCAGGATGAAAACAATTAACCTTGTCTGCTTTTCTGGGCGGCGAGGCATTTCTCAGTCTATGGGAATGAAAGTGGCCATTCTGAGTCCTCTGTTAGTGTCTAACCACTTTGAACCACCTTGTTCTCCAGGTTCCTGTTGAAGGACGGCCAGTTGTGGCTGTGTGCTCCTCAGGCCAAGCAGATCTGGAAGTGTCTGGCTGAGAGCGCCGTCTTCCTGTGTGACCGGGAGGCCTGCTTCAAATGGTACCGTACACATTTGTTTTGACCAGTCTTTGATGTATATTAAATATGATTTCCCTTTTTAATTCTTCCAGGTTAGTTAAACTCAAATGTTATTGGTAGTATTTTACTTAAAGCCTGTGGGTATCATACTTTATAATTTGTTATAAGCAAGTATGAGCCTTTATACTGTCTTTTTCAACTCTAGGTACTCTAAGCTGATGGGAGACGAGCCAGACCTGGACCCGGACATCAACAAGGACTTCTTTGAGAACAATGTTCTGCAGCTGGACCCGTCCTTGCTCACGGAGAACGGCATGAAGTGCTTCGAGAGGTTCTTCAAGGCCGTCAACTGCCGCGAGGGCAAACTGGTGGCCAAACGCAGGGCCTACATGATGGACGACCTGGAGCTCATAGGTCTGGACTACCTCTGGAGGGTGAGTGTTAAAAAACCTATCAATGTTATAAACCTTATCAATGTTATAAAGCTTTCTGAACATACTGTAAAACCTGGAGCTCAAAGGACTGGACTACCTCCGGAGGCATTCGAGTTATAACGCCTCTTATCGATGTTATAAGCTGTTATAGACAACATAACATACTGGTTCCTGGATTAACCCTGGAGGGGGAGAGTGCACAAAACAACTTTGCGTTGTCCTTCCAGGTGGTGATCCAGGGTACTGATGACATCGCCAGCCGAGCCATCGACCTGCTGAAGGAGATTTACACCAACCTGGGGCCCAAGCTGCAGGTCAACCAGGTGGAGATCCACGAGGACTTCATCCAGTTGTGTTTTGACCGTCTGAAGGCGTCGTACGATACGCTGTGTGTCCTGGACGGGGACAAGGACAGCATCAACTGTGCCCAGCAGGAGGCCATCCGCATGGTCCGCGTGCTCACCGTGCTCAAGGAGTACATCAACGAGTGTGACAGCGACTACCACGAGGAGAGGTCCATACTGCCCATGTCCAGGTAGGAGAGAGGCACACAGACACACACACATGGACGCACACGGACACACACTTGTGAAAGCTAGGTCCTACTTAGTTTGTCAGAGTCTTGACTGACCCAATCCATCTATTTCTCTCTCTCTCTCTCTCTCTCTCTCTCTCTCTCTCTCTCTCTCTCTCTCTCTCTCTCTCTCTCAGGGCGTTCCGGGGGAAGCACATCACGTTGATTGTGCGTTTCCCTAACCAGGGCCGTCAGGTGGATGACCTGGACATCTGGTCTCACACCAACGACACCATCGGCTCGGTGCGCCGCGGCATCCTCACACGCATCAAGGCCAACGCCACGCACACCAAGATAGAGCTCTTCATTGGCGGGGAGGTCGTCGACCCGGCGGATGACAGGAAGCTGATCGGACAGCTCAACCTCAAAGACAAAGCAGTGAGCTAGTAATTTCGTAGTCAATGTTTTTGGATTAGGGCTTAGTTCTAATGTGTTTAAATGTTACTCCCTCTTGGAATCACTAATCTACTAGGATTTAGATGATGAAAGCACAGTGTATCTGTTAGCATTTTGTTGAAATCGGTATATTGTGTGCGTGTAGTTGATCACAGCCAAGCTGACCCAGGTGAGTGCCACCGTGCCCTCCAGTCCTGACAGCTCCTCGGACTCCTCCACCGGCTCACCCAGTAACCACGGCAACCACTTCAGCGAAGGGCCCAACCCAGAGGTGGAGGGCTGCCTGCCTGGAGTGGTAAGTCACTCACTCTCACACACCTTTCCTCACGTGAGAAATGTCAAATGTGTTCTCTTCTCCTGAGTAACGCCTTTCTCTCTGTAGATCATGTCTCTCCACCTGCGCTACATCTCGTTCCTGTGGCAGGTAGCAGACTTGGGCTGTACCCTCAACATGCCTCTTCTACGAGATGGTGCCAGGCTACTCATGAAGCTCATGCCTCCAGGTACACACGGTCTCTCTTTCCGGTCTTTCTCTCACAAGCTCTCTCTCTGTCTTATTATGTCTGTCCTTCTGTGGCTCCGAAACAGCATCTCCCATCCTTCCTCTGTATATCTGTCTCTCTCACTGTAGTTAGAGATGATTTGTCCTGACTGACTGATGTTCTGGTTTGCTGTGTGTAGACAACAGTACCGTGGAGAACCTACGTGCTATCTGCCTGGATCATGCCAAGCTGGGAGAGAACAGCCTCAGCCCCACACTGGACTCACGCTTCTTTGGCCCCTCGCCCTCACAAGTCCTCTACCTCACTGAGGTTGGTAACACACACAGTGTGTGGTGGTTTACGTGATCGATTCATTACCCCTTACGCTCTTAACATCCTCCTGCCAGGTTTGATTGATTGATTGATTCCCCAGGTGGTGTATGCGTTGCTGATGCCGGCCAGCGGCACCCTCGGCGAGGACGCCAGCGACTTCCAGTACAACTTCCTGAAGAGCGGCGGCCTCCCGCTCGTACTGAGCATGCTCACCAGGAACAACTTCCTGCCGTCGGCCGACATGGAGACGCGGCGGGGGGCGTACCTCAATGCCCTGAAGATCGCCAAGCTGCTGCTGACCGCCGTGGGATTCGGACACGTCAAAGCTGTGGCCGAGGCCTGTCAGCCCGTAGTGGAGGGGACCAGCCCTGCATCACCGGTAAACAACACTATTGTATTACGGGGAAAACCTTGTATACTACAGCTTAGATGAGTGCAAAACAATGAGAGTACCAGGACCCTTGTTACCATACCCCGAATGGGCAGACCATGATCACCTCAACGTACCTTCACTGTGTATTTGAATGAACTTGAATATGACTGGTGTTCTTAATCCACTGTCATCTGTTTTTGTTCCTCCAGATCAACCAGGCGACCCACGACCAGGCCTTGGTCCTCCAGAGTGCTCTACAGAACATCCCAAACCCTGCCTCTGAGTGCATGCTCCGCAACGTGGCCATACGACTGGCCCAACAGATCTCTGACGAGGTGAGACGACGCGTCTGTTGAGAAGAGTGTTTACACATACATTCAACTGGGTAACAACGGCTAGTCAAAAAGAGCAAGACCGTGAACGTCTGCTCACTTTTTGTTTTGCAGTCTCTGCCCCCGAACTCCCAGAACTTCTTCCAGGCGTCCAAGTACATCCCAGACCTCTGTGTGATCCGGGCGGTGCAGAAGATCGTGTGGGCTTCAGGCTGTGGCACTGTACAGCTGGTCTTCAGCTCTAATGAAGAGATCAGTCAGATCTATGAGAAGGTAAAAGCCTTTTTAGACTGAGATGGTGTGCGTGGTTCTAAAGGTGTGTGTGTGTATTGCAGACTTCTAGGGGTTTGTAGGGAGAGTTTCTGTGTCTTCTATAAACTCACAGCGGTGTGTGTTCATCCCCTCTACAGACGAACGCGGGTAAGGAGCCGGACGGGGAGGATGAGATGGTGTGCTGTGAGGCGCTGGAGGTCATGACCCTGTGTTTCGCCCTGCTGCCCACCGCTCTAGACACTCTCAGTAAGGAGAAGGCCTGGCAGACCTTCATCATAGACCTGCTACTGCACTGCCACAGCAAGTACGTCTGGCTGTTCATCTATGTCTGTGTTGTGTCTCTCTGTCTGTGTTGTGTCTCTCTGTCTGTGTTGTGTCTAGTCTCTCTGTCTGTGTTGTGTCTAGTCTCTCTGTCTGTGTTGTATCTCTCATTCAGGGCATTTCCTGGACACAGACTAATCCTGGACTGAAAAGCATTTTCAATGGATTCTCCATTGAGTTTAATATAGTCTTAATCTTTATACGGGAAACCGCCCCTTGGAGTGTAAACTTAATCTCACAAAAACAATCCAATATAAAACTGTCATCAGACGATGTCAACAGCACCTTTGACAGTGAAATTAACCTGTTGTCACCTTCCTGTCTGTTCCCAGGTCAGTTCGTCAGATGGCTCAGGAGCAGTTCTTCCTCATGGCCACTAGGTGCTGTATGGGACACCGACCCCTCCTCTTCTTCATCACCCTCCTCTTCACTGTCTTAGGGGTGAGTATCCTTCCATCTCCCTTCTCTTCACCCCCCCACTGACACAATAGTCATTCTTCAGCTCTGGGTAGAAGTTGCCCTTAAGGACAGATCTAGGATCAGCTTGCCCTCTCTAAATCCCAAAATTCATCATTACAACACTGAAACTCTTCACCCCACTCCATTGGGACCCCTTGTTGTTGTAACACGTATCCTTCCTCCAGAGCACGGCGAAGGAGAGGGCGAAGCACGCAGGGGACTACTTTACGCTGCTGAGGCACCTACTGAACTATGCCTACAACAGCAACATCAACCTGCCCAATGCTGAGGCGCTGCTCAACAACGAGATCGACTGGCTCAAGAAGATCAGGGTATTGGACAAGATACTTTTTAAAGTCTTTTCATTGTTAGAATGATATGAAATGCAGTTTAATATGGTGTAGTATAGAGAAGACCTAAGATGGGCTTTCATATCTCTCATAAATATTACTACTAAATGTCAGTTTGGTATTCTTTCCTACTAGGATGAGGTGAAGCGGATAGGAGAGACGGGGGTGGAGGAGACCATTCTAGAAGGTCACCTGGGGGTCACCAAGGAGCTGCTGGCCTTCCAGACTCCAGAGAAGAAGTACTACATTGGCTGTGAGAAGGGCGGGGCCAACCTCATAAAGGTGGGTCATTATGTTGTGTTTATGAAATCCAATATGGCTGCCACTCAATAAAGTCACAGGACAAACCATCATAGGCCTATGCTTTGAATGGGAATGTCCATTCTGCTAATTCACCCCCCTCTCTCTCCATCTTCTCTTTCTCCAGGAGTTGATAGATGACTTCATCTTCCCGGCGTCTAACGTGTACCTGCAGTACGTGAAGAGTGGGGAGTTCCCTACGGAGCAGGCCATCCCTGTCTGCAGCAGCCCCGCCTCCATCAACGCAGGCTTCGAGCTGCTGGTGGCGCTGCCGGTCGGCTGTGTCCGGAACCTCAAGCAGATCGTTGATACGCTCACAGACATGTACTACCTAGGTAGACCATCTATACACTCACAGATATGTACTACCTAGGTACACCAACTATACACTCACAGATATGTACTACCTAGGTAGACCAACTATACACTCACAGATATGTACTACCTAGGTACACCAACTATACACTCACAGACATGTACTACCTAGGTACACCAACTATACACTCACAGACATGTACTACCTAGGTACACCAACTATACACTCACAGACATGTACTACCTAGGTAGACCAACTATACACTCACAGATATGTACTACCTAGGTACACCAACTATACACTCACAGACATGTACTACCTAGGTACACCAACTATACACTCACAGATATGTACTACATATGTACACGCTCAATACACACTCACAGTTCTACCTAGTCACTTTTATAATAATCAGGAATTTCAGATTTTCTCACATTCTTCTATTTATACTGGTAAAATGTACCTCTCCCCAATAAAATATAAATGTTTTCCTGATATTCATTGTTGTGTTGATCATATGTGGTTGGGAATGGATAAATGTTGAACAACTCTTTCTCCTTGTCTCCCTGTCTCTCAGGTTGTGAGGCTCTGACAGAGTGGGAGTACCTCCCCCCAGTGGGGCCGCGGCCCACCAAAGGCTTTGTGGGGCTGAAGAACGCGGGGGCCACCTGCTACATGAACTCAGTCATCCAGCAGCTCTACATGATCCCGCCTATCCGTAACGGCGTCCTGGCCGTGGAGGGCACCGGCACCGACGTGGACGATGAACTGTCCGGGGACGAGAAGCAGGAGAGTGAGGTGACTGGACCGACTGGGAATCAATCAAACTGGATTCAGATTGAATTATTGCAAAATGTCTCGCTTAAAGCTACAGTCTGAGATGCTTTTTATGGCAGCCCCACCACTTGGTATGCAGCTAAGGGACTAGGGAAATGAAACTCCTCTGAAGTTCATATTACCGAGTGTTTACGGATGTTGTGTAGAGGAACCAAGATGTACATTTTGAACTGAAATAATATGTCCTGTGTGTTGTTCCTTTCCCTCCTCAGACTAATGCAGACGGGACGGCGCGGGACGAGGTGTTCGCCTACCAACACCAGTTTGACGACAAGCCCTCGCTCAGTAAGTCGGAGGACAGGAAGGAGTACAACATCGGGGTGCTACGCCACCTACAGGTCATCTTTGGTCACCTGGCCTCCTCCAGACTGCAGTACTACGTACCCCGAGGCTTCTGGAAACAGTTCAGGTGAGCTAGCGATAGCAGCCTGAGGTAAAACAATGAAATGTCAAGGAATGTAGTGGAATACAGTTTACAAGGCGTTTTTATTTTGAAACCAACTAAGACTAAGAGCTACCTCTATCACTCTCTCTCCTCTCTCGCCTCTCTCCTGTAGGTTATGGGGTGAGCCGGTGAATCTGCGAGAACAGCACGATGCCCTGGAGTTCTTCAACTCTCTAGTGGACAGTCTAGATGAGGCTCTGAAGGCCATGGGCCACCCTTCCATGCTCAGCAAGGTGCTGGGAGGCTCCTTTGCTGACCAGAAAATATGCCGCGACTGCCCACACAGGTGAGTGATTTTGATCCAGTTACTTACATTGGTGGAACACAAATGGCGACCACATATCCTCCAGTTTTTCTTATAACGTTTTCATTCAGTAGCTAGGTTTCCATCCAATTGGCCACAGATTTTTTTTTTAAAGCGAATATTCTAAAATCTGCATAAAGAAAATATGTGCATTTTCCCACTAGTGGTGTATTTCCACCAAATGAACTTGTTGCGTTAAGTAGTAAATATGCCTACTCTGGTCTTGACACGTACACTCCAGCCAACAGCTGGCAGAGTCAGTGTGGGTAGGCTAGTCTACATGATGAGATTATTATGGATAAGAGGGAGAATATTTTATTTGTCAAATGGTAGTCAAGTATTGATAATCATGTCATCAGAATAAGACCCTCGATATTTATTGGAAAGGAGCATCAAGCTCATCACCTTGCACTTTCACCACCTTGTGAAGTTCATTATAACTTATTTCATCTGTAGCATAATAAACACCATGGTTTCCTGAACCGTAGTGGGAGGACCACACACCATATCATTGCATGACTCCAAGTTTACTTCGATATGATGATTATTGTATAAATGTTTGTGCATAAAGGTGTTTCTTCTGCCATTTCTTGCATAATACATTTTAAACAAAGATCCCACCATGTTGAACAAACAAATTATCTGTTGCCATTTATAAAATTGTACTGAAACTAGCTGTTTCCATCACAGCTTTTTATTTTTATAGACGGTATGACTTTACTCGCGTAACTATGGATGGAAACGGGGTTAGTGACACAAAATGGCCACCACATAGTTCTCAGTTTCACTATCACGGGCATGAAATATAAGTGATTAAGTGAAACTGTTCCACCATCTTGTTCCCAGGTATGAGTGTGAGGAGTCATTCACCACGTTGAACGTGGACATCAGGAACCACCAGAACCTGCTGGACTCTATGGAGCAGTATGTCAAAGGAGACCTGCTGGAGGGAGCCAACGCATACCACTGTGAGAAGTGTAACAAGAAGGTGCTTCACTCTACTCCTGTTCTTCAGCTTTCTGTTCATCATTCCTGTTGACTACTCAGTCCTTTGTTTTCAGTCCATTGCTAAATAGCAGTGTTTATATGGATAGATACTGTAGTATGACATTTCATACTGTTATTTGTTTTATCCACTACAGGTGGACACAGTTAAGCGTCTGCTTATAAAGAAGCTTCCTCCAGTGCTGGCCATCCAGCTGAAGAGGTTTGACTACGACTGGGAGAGGGAGTGTGCCATCAAGTTTAACGACTACTTTGAGTTCCCCAGGGAGCTGGACATGGAGCCCTACACGGTGGCCGGGGTGGCCAAGCTGGAGGGAGACGACGGCAACCCGGAGAGCCAGGTAGATTACTTTTACATCACATTTTATTTGCGTATTAGAGCTCTATACATTTTTCACAAAGTGCTAAACAGGAACTAAGGCCTGAACCCCCAAAGAGTAAACAGAAGCAGCATTGGCAAGGAAAAACTCCTCATTAGTCGATTCATCATTATTCCAGTCATTGGGTCTACTCAGTCACTCCTCTGTTCTCCTTCCTTCCCTCCTCCTCCTCTTCCTCTCAGATGATCATGCAGAATGAACCATCAGAGCCCGACCCGCCAGGCTGCAGTTCTAAGTACCGCCTGGTGGGGGTGCTGGTGCATTCGGGCCAGGCCAGCGGCGGCCACTACTACTCCTATATCAGCCAGCGAGACGGCGGCGCCGGCGGTAGCACCGAGAGCGGGCAGAAGGAGCGCTGGTACAAGTTTGACGATGGCGACGTGACGGAGTGCAAGATGGACGACGACGAGGAGATGAAGAGCCAGTGTTTCGGGGGGGAGTACATGGGAGAGGTGTTTGACCACATGATGAAGAAGATGTCCTACAGGAGGCAGAAGAGATGGTGGAACGCCTACATCCTGTTCTATGAGAGGATGGACGCGGCAGGGGGAGGGGTTGGGGGAGGGGCGGCACGGGAGGCAGACGGAGAGCTGGCCAGGTGCATCTCAGAGCTGACGGTGTCTCCCACTACACCACGACAGGTGGGGATCAGGACTGTGTGTGTGATTGTGTGTATTTGTTTGTGATAAAGTGCAGAGGAGAGAACCTGTGGGTGTGAGTGAATGAGGGTGCTTGTCTCTGTTTGCGTGTGTGTGTATAATGACGTAACGCTCATAACAGTACTAATTAATTCCCCCTCCTCTCCCAGGTGACGATGCCGGGGGCCATTGAATGCAGTGTGAGGAAGCAGAACGTCCAGTTCATGCACAGCCGCATGCAGTACAGCTTGGAGTACTTCCAGTTTGTCAAGAAGCTGCTGACCTGCAACAGCGTCTACCTCAACCCTCCCCCGGGTCAGGACCACCTGCTGCCAGAGGCAGAGGAGATAGCCATGATTAGCATCCAGCTAGCGGCTAGGTTCCTCTTCAGCACCGGGTTCCACACCAAGAAAGTAGTCCGGGGGCCTGCCGGTGACTGGTGAGTGGGTTGTGTGAGAGAGAGAGAAAATGTGTGCTTTCTTTATATTGCAAGACCATATAGACCTTATAACTCTCTCTCCATCCCCTTGTCTTCTTTTCCCTCTTTCTGTCTATACTCTCGCTCTCCTCCCTCCCCCATCTTCTCTCCCTCTCTCAGGTATGACGCCCTGTGCATCCTGCTGCGCCACAGTAAGAACGTTCGCTGCTGGTTTGCCCACAACGTTCTGTTTGCGTACCCCACGCGCTTCTCTGAGTACCTGCTGGAGTGTCCCAGTGCCGAGGTCCGGGGGGCCTTCGCCAAGCTCATCGTCTTCATCGCCCACTTCTCCCTGGCGGACGGGCCCTGCCCCGCCCCCGCCAGCTCCCCTGAGGGGTCCACACAGGTACAGAGGGAGGGAGGAAAAGGGGGAGTGAGAGATGGAGGGGAAGAGTAGAGAAGCTGTGTGTGTGGTGTGACGTAATACTAATGACCTGTAACCTTTGACCTGCATCAGGGCTGTGATAACCTGAGTCTGAGTGATCACCTGCTGAGGGCTGTGTTGAACCTGCTCAGGAGAGAGGTGTCAGAGCACGGCCGACACCTTCAGCAGTACTTCAACCTCTTCGTCATGTACGCCAACCTGGGTAAGACGACGTGTGCGTGTGCAGGAGAAACGCTGTTGCTAGTATTCAGTTAGTTTGTTTCTTGCTGGAATAAAACATTGGTTTCCCTCCCTCCCTTCCTCACCACCCAGGTCTGGCAGAGAAGACCCAGTTGTTGAAGTTGAGTGTCCCTGCTACCTTCATGCTGGTGGCTTTAGACGAGGGGCCTGGCCCTCCCATAAAGTACCAGTATGCTGAACTGACCAAGCTCTACGCTGTGGTCTCCCAGCTACTGCGCTGTTGTGATGTCTCCACACGCATGCAGTCCTCCATCAATGGTATGTTTCATTCTCTCTGTCACCGCCTTGTGGTTGCTGTCTCTTTTTGCTCTCCTCCTTTCTTTGTCTCTCGCTCTCTCGTTCTCTCTCTCGTTCTCTCTGTCTCTCTCATTCTCTCTCTGTTTCGTTCGTTCTCTCTCTAATGGTTCCATTCCCTCTCTTGGGTTCACTGTCCATCATTCTCTCGGTCTTCTGTTTCTTTACTCTTATTTGCATTCTTAGAATAAAACTAAATGTATCTCACTGTGCCTATCTGAACCCCCTCTCCCTCTGTCCTCCAGGTAACCCGGCCCTGGCCAACCCGTACGGCGACGCCAACCTGACCACCCCCATCATGCCCCTGCAACAGCTGGTGTCAGAGATCCTGTTCGTTAGGACCAGCTACGTGAAGAAGATCATCGAGGACTGCAGCAACTCTGAGGAGACGGTCAAGCTGCTGCGCTTCAGCTGCTGGGAAAACCCCCAGTTCTCCTCTACCGTGCTGTCTGAGCTGCTCTGGCAGGTAAGGGGTTAATACTATTGCCTCGCACTCACGCACGCCATTTTCCTTTCCCTCACCTGTCTACCTGTCTCGACCCCTAGGTGGCGTACTCCTACACATACGAGCTGAGGCCGTACCTGGACCTGCTGCTGCAGATACTACTGATAGAGGACTCCTGGCAGACCCACAGGATCCACAACGTGCTGAAGGGTATACCAGACGACAGGGACGGCCTGTTTGACACCATCCAGCGCTCTAAGAACCACTACCAGAAACGGGCCTACCAGTGTATCAAGTGCATGGTGGCTCTCTTCAGCAACTGTACTGTGGCCTACCAGATACTACAGGTAAACCATGACAATAGTAGACTAGATACGATATGGTAGACACCTCTCTCTCTCGCGCTCTCTGCCTATCAGATCAGTAATTTTGAATGGTGTTTCCCCCCCATTTTCAGATATGTACAGTATGTTTTTGTCTGGATATCTTGAATGGTGTGTATCAGGAGTATAACTGTGTTAACATTAGAACTATCTGTCTCTCTGTTGTGCTCCCAGAGTAACGGGGACCTGAAGCGTAAGTGGACCTGGGCGGTGGAGTGGCTGGGTGACGAGCTGGAGAGGAGGCCCTACACAGGGAACCCCCAGTACACCTACAACAACTGGTCTCCCCCCGTCCAGAGCAACGAGACCTCCAACGGGTACTTCCTGGAGCGCTCGCATTCCGCACGCATGACCCTGGCCAAAGCCTGCGAACTCTGCCCCGAGGAGGTACGGAAGGTGTGTGTGCGGGGGATGGGTGTTTGCCTGTATTGTGTGTGCCAAGTATGTGTGTGTGGTAATTTAACAGAGCTCTCATTGATTGATTCCATTGTCTTTATTTCTTTCAGGAGCCAGATGATCAGGAGGCAACAGAAGATCACGACTCCTCCCCTCCCGAGGACACAGCGCTGTACCCCCATAACCCTGCTCCTGCCACACAGTTTCAGCAGGTAACACACACTCTACCAGCACATTGTATGACACTGCCACTGCTACAGGCCTTACAGAATGCTCATATTGAATAATGACACCTCTATCTCCCTGTTTCCATCTCTCTCTGCAGCAGAACAACCACCCCCACGCCCAGCCCTATACGGGTCCGGCTGCCCAGCACATGAACACGCCCCAGCGGCCCCCACAGAGAGCACAGGAGAGCTGGGAGAGCACCACAGAGGAGGTGGGGCCCGTGGCGCCCCCGCCCGCTGTCCAGACGACAAAAGAGTAACACCAACAACACAACACGAGGGCAACCAACCCCCTTAACCTGCAACTCACCTCACCAAATCTCTTTGCACACTAATATCGCTCAATACCTTCAAGACACCCAGTTTGTTGATTGGTTGATCAAACAGTCGATTAAGACTAGACCCAGGCCGTAGCGCTCTCTTTTCTCCAGGAGGAACAGCGTCCTCTTTGTCACCTCTGAACCTTGACTCCTGCCCTCTGGATCGGGACAACTAAGCTCTTTTAAGTTGTCTGTTTTGTTTCTATGGTAGAATTGAATTTCTATGATTTCTAGAACTTTGGATTTCTATGATTTCTAGAACTTTAAGTGGGAAGAGTCTCGACGTTCTCTTTCTCTCTGCCCCATAGAGACACATCACTGCTGACAAAGAAAAGAACCATACCCCTGTCTGCAGGGTTGTGTGTACAGTGTTTTGAGCAACTTTGAGATGAAAGACAATGGTGTGTGTGTACAGGAAGTGAAATAAAATGGGGACGGGGTACATAGATAGTATGTTAATGTTTTGGAATCGTTAAAACCTTCCTTCCCTCGACCTCCCTCCCAACCTACAGCAATGATGCAGCAATGCTGGCCTGGACTGGCCCATAATATGTGACTTCAAAACTGAAAAGGAAGACAAAGGTCAAATCAAATGGGAAAAGAATAAGTGTTTCTTTAGTCTTCTCTGCTTTGTAGTCAATGCATGGAGGTGAGGTTTGGCCTTTCACTGGCTGACAGGGTCTTGGTTGATGCAGTCATCTTCTCCACCACTATAGTAGGTTTCAAACACCTCTCTCTCAGTGAGGACATTTTGAGTAAAGAATGATATGCCAGTATCACCCTGTGTGCACCAGTTTACAATGGCAGGGTGGGTGAAGGCTTGTTTAATCTCTGCTCACTTGAAGTGAAAATAACTCTTCTTGGTTTTCTTTTTTTCCTTCAACTTTTCGTCCTACTTGAACACAGCTACAGTCTTACAAATGTCTGTCCGTTGAGAGGAACAGATAAAACATTCTAAAGCAGGGTCATGATCTACAATAACTGCTGGTAAGCTAGCTAACTGACTCGCCAAGCGAAGTGTTTCTGAGTGTTCTTTTAGGATTCTATCTGCAACAAAAGTAGATTGCTGTGTTTCAATTGGTAACATGAATGTGTGGTTTGTTGTAAATTCTTTTTTGTTTTACTGGGATAATTGTCTGAAATGAGCAAAATCCTTGCAAAAAAATAAGCCCTTGATATGAAGACTCGTAGGATATTTTATTTGAATTTCCTAGATGTTGTTTTTGCTGATTTGAAAGCAGAGGAAAGGAAGTAGAAAGTAATTTAAAAACTTTTTTTTGTCCTATTCTTTAAAAAAATACTTTGTTAATAACTGTTTTGAGTTCTATCTGCCTTGAACTGTTTTTGCTAACAATAGTTTTGGCCAGGGTGTGATTTTGAATTCTGGAGCAACAGTTGACGCTTCAGTTGTTTTTTCCAGTACAGCAGTGTGCCCCCTACCAAGAATACATGGAACATGCAGTCTTTACATTGTAGTGTTTTCATATTTCATCTATGGTACATTGTAAATACCTAATGCACGCAACAACAAAAAACATAATCATCAGGACATACATGACAGTGACGAAACAATATCTCGTTGAGTGGATTTGCCAACAGTAAATGGCATTGCCCCAAGGGACTGGTTGAAACTGAATGGATTAGACACAAAATGTCTGCCAAAACCAAAACTGTGGCCTATACAGACAAGTTGTGGAAGAGCAAAGTGAGGGAACTATTCCCCCCCCAAACAAAAAGCATACTGGGGAGGTGTGATTAGAATGCCGTATGGACTGATGTCATCCTTCCAGGCCCCGCCCTAAAGCACTACAGGTAATCTCTCCTCTCACTTCTTCCATTTTAAGAATGCTTAAAAAAAAAAAAATGACTGCTAGGTCTTACAGATTGTTTGTTTGTTTTGCATTTTCTTTGCATTTTCTTTTTGTAAAGTGTTTAGTTCAGGATCAGACCTGCCTTCTGATTTTGTTTGTATTTTGTTTGAATAATTCTAAAGTTTTTTTTTTTGTGAAACATGCATGGATGGTTATTAAGCCCCCCCCCCCCCCCAATCTGCCTTGGAGCACTGTACAAACACACCACACTGTAAAATTATACTTTAAGAAAAGGACAAATAAATGGTCTTTTGAATTATTATGCCCTGTATGCAAGGAGGAACCTACATAATTGTTTCTTTCACCGATCAGTTTTTATTTTATTGCCATGGATAAAGGGGAGGAGGCAAGGAGAGGAAATTCCTTTATATTACATTTTAGTCATTTAGCAGACGCTCTTATCCAGAGCGACTTACAGTTAGTGAGTGCATACTTTTTTTTGTTTCATACTGGCCCCTGTGGGAATCGAACCCACAACCCTGGCGTTGCAAACGCATATTATTGAGTAACCTTTCTTTTGCCCCCTTTAACCTTGTACTTGTCAATTTAATGAACCAAACAGACAAGCTTTACAACAGTTTATAAACCCCACTTTGGCTCATCCCTTCAGGGCGTCTGCTCAATCTGCCACAGTAGGCTTCCAACCACTGATCCACAGTCGGCCAACTTTACCCCAGTCCTATCCTCCTTCAATAGGAGGTGAAAAGCAAAAACGGACCCTAGATCTGCTCTTGAAGCAACACGGTCTAGCAGCCATTCTCTCAGCAGGCACTCTTTATTGTAGCTCATTCTCACCCGCAAGAGAAATGTCAAGAGGAGAATCTCAATTGCGTACTCCTTGCGTCCTTCTCAAAACCCATTGGATGAGAAAGCCAGAGGTCCCGCCCCTCTGACCTTCTCCTCCAATGGGTTTTGAGGAGGCGAGGAGAGAGGACAGGCGGAGTTGCAATTGATATTCTCCCAAGGACCGCTAGAAAGGCAGAGGGGATGTGGCGTTGACCTAATGAAACTTTACAGCTGTCATCCATTCCTCGAGTTCTACCTAATATGACACAATCAAAGTTCCTTGTCCAGTCAAAATCATGACTGTAGAATTATCAACACCACCGTTCAGGCCTGTCTGACTAAAACCAATGCAGCCAGGAGAGCCTCCAGCCAGTGACCTTGCTGTTTTCCATGCATCCACCGTGCACACTACCTCCTGTGCCATACGAGGTCCAGAACTCCTGGCAGAGACTTCAGGAGACCTACATTTTGGGACCCTTCATTCCCATAACGGGCGGCAGGTAGCTTAGTGGTTAAGAGCCTTGTGCCAGTAACCGAAAGGTCGCTGGTTCTCATCCCCGAGCAGACTAGGTGAAAAATCTGTCGATGTGCACTTGAGCAAGGCACTTAACCCTAATTGCTCCTGTAAGTCGCTCTGGATAAGAGCGTCTGCTAAATGACCAAATTATTATTTTTTATAACAAGGAGTGTCAGTACAGTAGCCTTCAGGCAGCCACCTGTTATGTCACAATGTGAAACAGCTGGATTAACAGCAGGGGAATACTACAAAAAGAGTAGGTTGGTGTTTGATTAAAAGGCTTACTTAAAAAAAAAAGTTTTATTAACAAATATAACCGAAAATACTGTCTGGTGCAAAGTATGAGATATTGACTGTCATACACTACTGAATATCTTCAACTCCACTATGACGTTGTCGATTTTTACAACATCACAATTGAAAATGATGTCTAAATGTAGCCAGACTTTCAAAAACTTTTTGGAACGGGTGATAAAATGTCGCGATATGCGCAATGCCCTCCTCTCTGCTCTTTGTGGTTGTCTCAACCAATAAAATCTCACTCTGGGTTCCTGTTTCCAGCTTCCATTGCACCACCACCAGTTAGTAAGCGGTGTCGGTTTAAAGGCTACAGTCTACTTTAGACCACCGAAATATAGTGTCATGAAAATAACCCGAAATAATTTACACTAACATAATATATCAACTGTATCTGTACTGTTGATTAATTCTGAAATTGACAAAAGAAGAAAAGACGAGCGAAACCTAAGGGGTAGTCACAAACCGGCAAACAAAGAGATCCCTTTCTCGACGACAACATTTTTCCTCAATATTCTTTAGTTATGAGTCATGTGGCCGTCGAAAATATACACGGTCTAGAACAGCAGGTGAGTTTTTTTGTATTTTTTGTTTGTGTTCATATCTATAACATACGTAGAAATGAGTAGAACGAGTCTGAAAATGCAGTCGTGGACACCAAGCTAGCTGGTTAGCTTTGCTAGCTAGCTACGTTAGCTGTAACTGCGTGTGTTGTCTAATCTCTGGGTAAAATGGAGGCCGGTGGAGGATAATGGTTGGTGATGGCGGTGTTTCACGTTCAACAATGCAGCATTTCTCACAATTAGTTTGTTTTTCCTAGTTAACTATATCTCAAAGACATGCAATCTAAAACCTATGTTCAGTGTTGTGACATTCAACATACATTTTTTTCTTGCATTTATTCACTTGAGCTGATGATTGTTAGCCTGCTTGCTAGGTTGGCCTCTAGTTAGCTACCTACGCTAACATGAGAGCTAGCCGGCTACATTTTCTTCTGCGTCACTGTCACATTGTTTTAATCCCGAATGAACAAATCGTGTTCATGCTTTGCATATTTGCTGGCTAGCAACGACTGCATTGTTTGGTTTTGTGTTGTACTGTAGATTTTTTTTGTTGACATGTTAAAGAACCTGTCATTGTTAAGTCATCCAGTTGTTTTTGTCACCTTTATGTAACGTTAGTCCAGCCGACAGTATCCACGAAAACACCCATTAATTTGATATCGAAGCATTATTAAAATATCTGAGTCTAGCTGTAACTGCATTTGCAAATGAAACATTGTCTGTGTTAAACATTGTCAACCATGGAAGATGAAACCTAACATAATTAGCTAACTATCATGATATTTTCTGATAGTCAGCAGCTGCATATTGGACATGTGCTTGGCAGTGTGAAAGGATGTCGGGTTGGTGGGGGCAAACGTATTTTGACACAGGAAATAAGACCCCTTTGAGCCATGTTGGTCACGC